TGGAAAAATTGTACGATCTCGCTATTTGCACATGATCACGCAGCACAAGTTGCACAAAGTGCATGATAGCGTTTGCACCGAGAAATCACCGTTTGTGTGCTTCTCTCACGAGCGGCTGTTTATCTCTATATCCTCCCCCCCCCCTCAATTTGCGTAAAAGTTATTAAGTTTGTCATCTCTCCCGTTCATTTGACACATTTTTGTTTATTCCGTCCTGTTTGTTGTGAACGTTGTGTTGACTTGGTTGTTTCTATCTTTTTTTTTTTTGGTTTTGTTGTTGCGTTGGTGTTGTGTGTGAAGCCGGCGCCTGAACAGCAGAGGCTAGACGATGCCATCGGCTTTCTTCGTGACCACGCCGAGGTGAGGACTGCCGAATTTCAGTTTTTTTTCTCTCCTCATTTTATCACTTCTTTTTTTACATATCCCTTTATGCATGTTTACGCCGAAACCACGAAAAACAAATGCCAAAACATCGTCCGTTGCACTTTTTCCTGATTTTCGCTGATTACGCTTTCGATTAATTATATGATTATATATTGTGATATGAGATATTCATTGTGTACAATGTATAATCGTAGCTTGTACTTTTCTATTAACATAAATGCGTTCCAATAATCAGTCGACATTAAAGCGCGTTAAACCCTTTAACCCCCAATCGGTCGAACGAACTTCTTTTTCCTTTTATATAATATTTTCGCAATTCTGTCCTTCCTCGCGAAATCTATTTCTTCGATCAGCAGAATTATTTTTCTATCGTGTTAATTTAGAAGCGTATAGATAAGAGAATTCAATTTTGACTTCACCTTTTTCCTTCTGCCAATTTCTCTCGAATAAACATAGGAATTTAAAACGAAAAAAAAAAATAATAAAGTCAGTAATACACTTTCCGCTCGCATCCTTAATACAGGAGCAATCTTGAACTATCGGCGCGTAATCGAGTCGCATTTTCGGTATTCTGTTGGTACAGGGGACACGGATGGAGGAGCGGTTAGACGATGCCATAAACGTACTGAGGAACCACGCCGAGAGTCAAGTGGCCCTTCATCTTGGCCCGGTTGGTCCCCACGGCGGGTTATACTCCCATACGTCACCACCGCAGTTAGACCATTTGGTAAGGATTTTTCGTTTATGACAATATCAAGGCGGTTACACAATCACGGATGAAGGAATTTCGAACTCTTTTTCGGTTGTATACACTTGGTATATTACTGTCTTTCAGGCGAGTCCACATCCTGCGGTAACGGTGACGCAACCACAGGGTTCTTATCCCGGTCTTACGCCTACGCCCGACACGGACGGTTCCATTAAAATCGAAAGGTTACCTGTGACGAATGCCAGTAAGTTGACCCCGAAGTGGTGACATTAGATAAATAAATTGCGATATAATTTGCAACGTGGAAAAAAATCAGTTGGCAATTTTCCAATATGGCGAATGATTTTCGCAGCCAGCATTGATGACTCGACTGGCGATCTACCCAAAAGCGTCTAGCGTGATTTTTCGATAAAAAATAGTACCGGGAAAAGTTACAATCGTGACGTTGCGTTGCTTTGATCGCGCCATTCTATTCTCGCATCGTCGCATCATCGAGCAGTCACTTTTCCCATGAATACCGCGAAGGAGAGGGAAAAGGGAAGGAGCTCCCAGGTGTTCTAACACAACGGACTCGCGGCCGAATAAGGAAATATTAGATAAATCACGCGAAGTCTTTACTGTCCGGCGGTCGTGCCTGCATTATTCTCTCGCGAGTACATTCGGTTATCTCTCTCCTCGTCTCTCTCTTTCCATCTCGTTGCTGTCTCTGTTCCTTTTCCCCCCGGCCTCTTAGAATCATTATGCCGACGCAGAACATTTGGTATCCTTTTACTACGGATTAGGAGATCCTGCGTTAGCTGGCCGAAGGAATGCAGAACATTCTTGCGGATTTGGAAGCTGTTTACGCACTTTGTGCTAGTAGGAATAAATGGAAATTCGCGAAACCACATTTGAAACAACTTCCGTGAAAAAAAAAAAAAAAAAAAAAAGAGCGTATTGTGAACTAAATAGCTCGAATCGCTTTAGCGTAAGGAAATGCGTTCGATAGCAGCTCCGCGTAAATAATTGAACCGTGAACGTTTCGCTCGTGATTCCATGCGTCACCGAGCGCGATATAAAAGTGATCGTCGAATTTCGCACATAATCGTCTGATTTATCTCCGCGAGGACTTTTAAGAGACTTTGTAAAGAGACTCACAACATACATGAGCCAGTACTCTCGCGAATTATCGAATAAGAAAGAAAGAGAAAGAAAGAAAACGTTTAAGGCGATCGGTTGAATCAGGATTGAGCGACTCCCTGCGCGACTTCCTACTCCTAATTGGACGCTTTTCACGGTTTCGTGACTAAACCTCCTTGCCTAAAGCTCGGGGATAATCGAAGATCGTGATCGCCATCTTCGGCCGAAGGTCGACCGCGGTTTATTCTTTTTCCTTTTCCGTGTCATTTTTCCGCGGTTGCATCAGATAATCTGCGACAGTGCTCGAATAGAGGCTACTGTCATAGCGTATTTTCAAACCCCCTTGGGATGTGTTCCGCCAAGTAGTTTTAGAATCACGAAGAAACAAAAAGAAAAAAAAAAGAAAAGAAAAGAAAACTACTTTGACCTAGCGCGAATTTTACCTGGTTTTTACCATCTTGTAAATTATATATAACAATGCAGCAATCATGAAAAATCTACACGGCAGTATTAATAATGAGCAGAATACATCCCCTTAGAAAAGAGAAAAGACCCGCCCGACAGTAGCGGCGGTGAGACGAAGCCGTCGAGCAGCGAGCTCGCAGCTGCTGGTGTAATCGGAGCTGCTACAGTCAACTCGACGTCACAAGGAAAAGGAACGAAGCGATCGCGCAGATAGTAAGTATCTGGAAAAATTCTTTCAGACACCAAACCAAGATTCCCTCGGTAGATCAAACGTGTCGAGCGATAAAATGATAAAAAAATAAAGAGAAACTGTAATCATCTTCGAGACACACACACACACACACACACACACGAGTGTCATCTATAGTCTCGCTCCGTATTTTCGATACGTTGAACTAGAAGTAAAAAATTTAAAAAAAAAAAAAAAA